TTGTACCTCCATGTTCGTCTGAGATGTGGACTGATCCTGTATGGATTAGTGGAAAGTTAGTAACTTGCCATGAACGGTTTATTAGGGCTTAACATTTAACTGTAGAGCTCCAAGTGAATTTAAAGCACTAGTGTAATAGATTTTCATTTCTGGAATTAGCCTCTTAATTCATATGTGAGGTGATAAAATATGACACTTAACACTAATATCAAGTTTCATTTGTCAGAGTGTCACAGTAACCTTTACAGAAAGCCTGTTCAGCAAAACCTCATTCCAGACCATTTCAGATGACTGGGCACAGCATGTCATATTTATCAGGGCAAGAGATCCATGTGTGTTAAGTAGCTGTGCCTGACATTACCATGAAAGCACACTTAAGTATAATTAGTATAATAGAGTTTCGTGTAAATAAACTCTTTTTTTCCCCTAAGGTTGCCTTTGTCCCACATCTTTAATACAAAAAAATATGGATTTGCATAATGTTGCAAAAGCAATATGGCACAGCTTTAAAGGGTTAGTTCACCCAAAAATGAAAATTCTGTCAGTATTTACTCACCCTCATGTTGTTCCAACCCCGTAAGACCTTTGTTCATCTTCGGAACACAAATTAAGATATTTAAGATATTAAGATCGCTCCTGCATACAGTCCGTAGGCTTCTTGAGGGACTGGCTCTTGCTGTCCCCAAAAGTCATTAAAGACATTGTTAAAATAGTCCAAGTGACTACAGGGGCTCAATCTTAAGTTTATCAAACGACGAGAACACTTTTGTGCGCAAAAAAACAACAAAAATAACGACTTTATTTCAACTATTCACTTTCTTCTCCATGGGCCTGTAGTCAGTTAACGTAGTGTGATTGCATAGAGCTACGTCACACGTAGGCTCACTATTGGCCGACGCTGGTCATGTGTGTGTGATGCGTGTGACGTAAAATAACAGAAGCTTATGCTATTGGGATGAGAATGGGCTGGCTTTCGATCTTCTTTCTGATTTGAATGCTATGTGGAAAACACTTGAGTTTTGCCTCAGACTTGTTCTAGTGCCCAGAACCGTAATCTTTACTGACATTGTAATTATTATGGTAATTATTACTTAACCCCAACTTTCCATGATAAACTAGTCCCGTCCGAATTAGGCTGTGTCCCAAATGACGCACTATATTGTCACAGGCCGGGGCGGACAACTGGCCCCTCTATACTCCGCCCCAAAAACCCGTACCACCCGGGGAGCTAACCAGAGACACCACCAGACCAGACAACAGATAGCAAGTATAGAATTCTTCTTTATTGACTTACAATTATTTGTTAGACTAAAATGGCACTCAGCCATCACTTCTATCAGCTTGGCAGACCATACGCGTCGACGCCCGGACGAACAACAGTAAATATCCAGGTTGTACCCCTCGCCTTGCAGATCATGGCAATGGAGGAGGAACGACTCGCATCTCTCCGAAATCAGCTCCAGGCCAGTGGTGGGTATGCAGGTAATGACTTCTCTTCTAGTACTTCAAGTCAGCAGAGGAGAGACAACTCATGTCTCGATGAGTCGGCTCCAGGCTTGACAGTGGTGAGTACCCAGGTAAAGGCTCCTCTTAATTCCAAACAAATCATCTCAAGTCCGAACAATAGTGTTTACACAGGTAGTGGCTCCTCTTGTCTCATACGAATCTGTTCTTCTCCCCCAGCAGGGTGAAGGTGGCTAACGGTGGATCACTTACGTCTCTGACGAATCGGCTTTCGACCGGACAGCAATGGACACACACAGGTAACGACTCCTCTTGTCTCATCCTAATCTGTTCTTCTTCCCCAGCAGGATCAAGGTGGCCAACGACGGATCACGTACATCTCTGGAAAACAAACTCTCAAGCCCTCATTAGCCTCTCGAGTTCAGACCGTCCCACAGGTCAAAACACGGGCAACGGCAAGACGTTTTTCCCCACAAGACACTTCACACGTACATAAAGTCACCGTAAGCACTACAATTCCCCACTCACAGCAAACTAGGGCCTTTACTCGTAGCTGTGACCGGGTCCTTGTCTTCAGTGTACATAACAGACAGGGGCAGGAATGAAATCCTCTATGTAATTGGACTCCCAGGCAGCTTAGAAAGTGGTAAGCCACAAACTTGATCTGTTGGGAGGGTTAGAACATCACAAGGTTATTTCACAGTCACCAAAGTCCGAACGGCACAAAAACTAGATCTTCGTTTTCCTGAAGGTCGTAACTCAAAGATGTTAAACTGGATAATCAGGCCATGCCCTTCAGATATGTCAATTACCATAATTACCAAATTTTCAAACATTCCCCCATTGTTTTTTAAGTGCACCATCTGGACTTTCGCTATATCTAATTGGAAAATTCAGTGTGAAAACTCTACTTAAAATGGCATAGAATGTTGTGTAAGTACGTCAATTGGGACACATCTTAAGTTGTTCACTAATAAGAATTAAGAACTATTACAGAGAGTGATGGGATCACATACTGTATCAACACATTCTCATCCCAAAAAGTCATATAACTGACGTTTTGGGACGTCTTTTGACCACACGTCAATATTCGCCTTTTTAGGGCCCCCTTAAACGTCGGTAAATGGCGATCCCGGGCCGTCATACAACTGACGCTTTACCTTTAACGTCAGTTAGGTGACGGTCTGGGGTAGAGTTAGGATCCCATAACCTCATCTACCGACGTTTAAGTGGGCCCTAAAAAGGCG